GGAACAGGAGGAGCAGAAGAAGAAGAAGAAGAAGATGACAAAAACAAACAGATGCAGGAAAAGACTGGTGACATTAGGGCCTGAATGAGGCTACAATGCAGATTACAGCTACATTAGCTTCTTGGTGAGAAGCCTAAGAGGTGTTCCATTCCCTCACAGAGGCCTCAGATTCAATAAGATAGGGGTTGTGGGAATTTGGTTTCAGAAAGAAGCCTTCTGGGGCTAGAACTAGCAAGACCTAAAAGGGGTTAGGGGCAGGAGAAATTATGAACTGCCCCCACTAGGTCAAACAAAATGAAAGGACCTGGTTTCTTATAATTCCTCATGGTTGATGATCTTGTTAATGGATGAGGTCTAACCATAACCATTACTGCTTCCTTTTAAGCCCTGCTTACTGATCAAACCTCAAATTTATCCTTTTCCAGGGAGAGGCAATTTTTTTTTTTTATTCAGGAAATATGCTTCACTATAGCTTCAATACTGAATATCCAATATACTGCAAATAGCATGCCTAGGCGAAAAAGAAAAAAAAAGAACTCATTAACTTCTTTGTAGAGTTCAAATGTCACTAAGTCAAGGACTTCTCAATTTTCTGTCAGCAGAGGTTGAAACTTGGCATAGAATTGGATCTTTTCCATGATTTCTGGATGCAAAATTCTAAGCCCTAGTTAAGAGTCCCATTTGAATCAGCCCTGGGTAGAAATTTGAATATTGAATTTATGTATGCTTTGGAGGTACAGCATTTGAACAAAGTTTATAAATTACTACTTGAGTTAAATCTTGGGTAAGAGCTATGAGATATGGACCAATGACTTATGGTAGTACAGTAAACTGAAGGGAGGGGAGATTATAAAGCACTGGCTCTAATAATGGTGTCATTCCTTCTCACTATTCCACAGTACTTTTTTAGTCTTGTTCTTAGTTCACAGAATACTTTAGGTAATAACATTTTAAAAACAAAACAAAAAAAACAGAAAAAAAACCAGGAATTTCTCAGAATTTTAATCATGAAAATAAAGTGAAGGAAACTTTACTTAAGGTCAATAAGCATCACGGAAACCAAGAAAGCAAATTACATTCCATTAGAAAATGGGAAATTTATGACGTTTCTAAGTTGCTAGATTCAAGCTTTAACCTTCAAGGTCCATCTTGTACAAAAGCGTTTAATGACTGGCTGTTTCTGACTTTCCATTTCTTCTTCCCAATAAAGATTGCTCTTGCTTAATTAGCATTCACACATATCTCTGGCTATGGCTTAAGCACAGTGGTGTCAGAGGTCAGTTAAGCCATCAATGTTCATGCTGTGAGCTGGCAACTGAAAGAAGTTACTCTGAGAATAAGACCCAGCTGTGGTTCAGACTCACCTACACCCTTTGTGAGAGATGATGCAGAGGCATGGCGTATTGAAAGCTGTCGTATAGCTTGACTACTAGTTGTGGTCTATTCTCTCATTCTTTGCAATTATAGCAGAAAATGTTCATTGGCTTCCTGTATGGCAGCCACAAGAATTTCATGTTCCTTGTGGCATCCAATTTATTCTAGGCTAATGCAACACGTAATAGAACCTTTGATCCAACCTATTTCCGCTATGAGACTATAAATTCAGATGCATAATGGAAGCAGACGAACTTATAGCCTCTAGTCAAGAATCCTAAGCAGTGTTTTGTACCCTCAGTGGCTTATAAACCCTGTTTATAATTTTATTATTTTAAAATCAAAAACAAAATAATTCATTTGTGCTGAAGAATAATTTTTGAAGTAATTTTTCTCTGATAATATTACGAAAAACAAGCAGTGAGGTAAAGACTCATTTTACATACCAAAAATGTAATTTACATAATTCTCCATGCTAGTGGCACCTAAAGATAATAGAGTATTTTTTTAAGGCATGAGCTTTTTAATTTTTTTTTTGTGAGGAAGATTGGCCCTGAGCTAACAACTGTTGCTCATCTTCCTCTATTTTCTTCTTTTTTCTCCCCAAAGCCCCGGTACATAGTTGTATACCCTAGTTATAAGTCCTTCTACCACAGCACAAACCACAGCATGGTTTGATGAGCAGTCTGTAGGTCTGCACCCAGGATCTGAACCGGTGAACCCCCGGCCACCAAAGCTGAGAGTGCAAACCTAACCACTACGTCACTGGGCTGGCCCCCAATAATACAGTATTTGATTCATAGGATTAGTATACATGTAATAAATTAGCAACAAGATCTAAGAAAATATTTGATTTTTCCCTGCTGAAAAGAGGCATCTTATGGGGCCAGCCCAGTGGCGCAGCAGTTAGGTTCACATGTTCCCCTTCTCGGTGGCCCAGGGTTCACTGGTTCAGATCCCGGGTGTGGACATGGCACTGCTTGGCAAAAGGCATTCTGTGGTAGGTGTCCCACATATAAAATAGAGGAAGATGAGCACGGATGTTAGCTCCGGGCCAGTCTTCCTCAGCAAAATGAGGAAGATTGGCAGTAGTTAGCTCAGGGCCAATCTTCCTCAAAAAAAAAGAGGCATCTTACATTTCTTAAAATCCAGCACAGAACTTACAAAAGTATACGTGCTACAGGGTACCCTGAGAGGCAGGAATTCAACTGTATCAAGTTTTGGAATTTCTTTTTAAATATCCTCTTTTATTTAAATACCTTAAAATCAATGTTTTTTCATTTTATTACTTTTTAATTTTATAGATAAGAAATGAATGTTCTTGCTGTTTATGTTTTCTGACCATTTAATTTTTCTGATCTATCCTGGATAACAGTGTCAGTTATCTCTCTAAACTTTAGGTTTTTCTTCCAGGAAAGGGAGACATTAACCATGGTATTTCATAAGAGAAATAAATAAAATACTTCCAAATGAGCAACTGAGATAATTTAGCTTGGATCAACAAGCACCTAAGCAATAATAAGACTATACTGAACCTACTCGACTACAGAATCAGAAGTCATGAGCCGGCCGGCCCCATGGCAGAGTGGTTACGTTCGTGCACTCCACTGTGGCGGCCCAGGGTTTTGCTGGTTCAGACCCTGGGCACAGACATGGCACCACTCGTCAGGCAATGTTGAGACAGCGTCCCACGTGCCACAACTAGAAGGACCCACTACTAAAATATACAACTATGTACTGCGGGGACTTGGGGATAAAAAGCAGAAAGAAAAAACAAAAAAGAAGATTGGCAACAGTTGTCAGCTCAGGTGCCAATCTTAAAAAAAAAAAAAAGAAAACCAAAAAACCTCTTAAAAAAAATAAACGAAGTCATAAGCGTTGTACTGAGCTACAGACATACTACCTTCCAACCCTGTAACCTTTCCTGAAGCCTTTTCGCATACCTGGAGTGATAAGAGAGCAAGTGATGGGCGAGGTCCTTGGAGTCAGGCCAGCTCTGTTCCCAAAGACCATTACTAGAAAGAAGAGATATGTGCCATGCAATGAGTGTGAGAGAGGAGGAGGAGGGTCAACCCCATACCCTAACTCCAAGAGAAGACTGGTGTCTACACTGAATTGGAAGCAGAATGAGACATACTCAGAGTGTCTGCTTCAGGGAGAGACTTGTTTCCCAAACTCTTGGTCTGGAGAAACCTGTTACTTATTCCCTGTGTTTTGCTAATGTCTGATCCTCATACCCAAGGTCTAAGGAATAGCTCACTCACCTTACTCTGTGGATTTATAGAAAATTTGCCTTGGAAACTTACAGCCCTATCTCTATCGAATAAAAAACTCTTATTCACCTACGGACTATTCTTCACTGAATAGTCTGCTGTTTCTTATCCATTCATTGGTCTTCTACTTCAGTGATCAAATATCTCCTCTCTCTACCTAGAATCCCCCCATCATAGGCTATATTCTAGCCCAGAATGTCTTTCCTGTCTTTCTTAAGGGGAAAAAAGCTAAGAAACACTTGTGAAGGCCACAGTCAGGAACACTTGTTACTAAAGACTGAGATTTAATTATACAATTACAGAATGCTTCTCCTCCACCATTCCTTACCACCATATCAACACAACTCTAGTATAACAGATTGCAACTGAAAAAGTTGTCAGGAGCAGAATCTATTTCATGATGATACTTTAGAGAAGCCAAAGACAACAGGGGCATCAAAAAACAAGGGTACTAGAGGAATTTGAAGCCTCTGGCACCTATGACTACAGCAAACATTAAACATCTTCCAACTTCTAGCTTCAATAACATATCATCTATTCCTCAGTTTGATCACAAGTCCTGGTTTTAAATAATTTCAGACTCCTCAGCAGTCTCACTGGAGTAAAGAAGTATAAATAGGACATAAGATCAAGAAGAGCGGTCAGACCAATGTTCCCATAGTAGCTAGTTTCCTCTGTAGTCACTGAGAAATGGACAGAGAGAGGGTTTCCTAGAAGCACAGGATGGTAGCTTATTCTGTCTGTCCTCTCTGTGAAATTAACCTTGGGTATTGTACTTTGGAATTGAGTTCTTAGTCCCATTGTGAATTCCTTGCTATTCTGTTCAGCTGCCTGAAGTAACCATGTGTGTGTTTTCTCTCCCCTGGAAAACTAAGATCTAAATGTTTGTTTATAATCCACTCTTTCAAGAGAGTTAGAAATGGCAGAGATTCTATGTCAACAATTGTACCTTTTATCTTGATCCTGTTCTTGTCCCGGTCAACATTTTTAACCCAAATATTAAAGCTGTTTTGACTAAAACTCTTTATCTTGGGTTTACCTCTGCTGTTTAGATCTTTCTTGGAGAAGGAGAATGGGGGAGATGGGTGTCTTCTTGGAGGATGACATGGTGAGAGACAAGAGTGACAAAAGGGAAGGAATGGAAAATTGTTTTGAGGATGGAGGAGGAGCTAACAAAGGAAGGGTGTCTCAGGAACCAACACACATTATCACAAACTCAGAACACATTCTTCATTACTGACCCTTTCCTGGCCTGACTCCACCCCTGAGGGACACATCTTAGTCTTGACCAATGACTTCAAAGTACTAGGGGGAACCAGGGGCCAGAAGTTCACCAGTAAAGAATAAAAGGCCACACCATACAGCAGCAGCACATACCTGCTTCTGACACCTCTGTGATCACCTGTAAGCTCCCAGACCTGACATCATGGTGCATTTTACTGCTGAGGAGAAGGCTGCCATCACTAACGCGTGGGGCAAAGTGAATGTGGAAGAAGCTGGAGGCGAGGCTCTTGGCAGGTAGGAACTGGGTTTCAACACATGAGAGAGGATGATAAATATAAACCTGGCAAATTGACTAGGAAAATCCTCAAGATTTTTGAGAGTCTCTGATTTTCCTTCTGCTATGCCCCGTCTCATAGGCTCTTGGTTGTCTATCCCTGGACCCAGAGGTTTTTTGACAACTTTGGCAACCTGTCCTCTTCCTCTGCCATAATGGGCAATCCCAAAGTCAAGGCCCATGGCAAGAAGGTGCTGACCTCTTTTGGAGATGCTGTTAAGAACATGGACAACCTCAAGGCTGCCTTTGCTAAGCTGAGTGAGCTGCACTGTGACAAGCTGCATGTGGATCCTGAGAACTTCAGGGTGAGTTCAGGAAATGTTCATGTTCATGTGCTCTTTTTTGCTTTTTAGTTTGGGATAATAATGGAAGTTGAGCCTTTGGTTGGAAAGACTAACAAAGATCTCAGATATCATGGGTCTCACTTGGTGTTATGAGGGCAGACCTCAAGTGGGCATCACTGAGAACTCCTAGATTCAGGACTAGTGATAGTAAAGGGATACTAGCAGCCTGAGTTTACTTAAAACTTTTCAAGAATTGTTGTCAGAACTGGACTTGTTTATCCTATAGAATATCAGAGCATAGCTGACTTGTTCAAAGAGGAATGGAATTTGACTTTTGATAGATGAAGGCCTATCTCAAAGAAGGAGAAATGCCTTATTTTATGTGGTTCTTATGACTGAAGTTTAGGAAGAGATTTGGGGAAAAAAAATTCTGGACAGATTATCTCAGAGAAAAATAAAAAAAAATTTCTCTAAAGGATACTAAATTACCTGTCAATAAATTACCTGTCAAGTAGGAGGAAGCTTGTTATTGCATTGGTTAGAGACGTTAAACTCACTCTGAGAACCCATGCAGCCCTGAAATCCTATGATTACAGGAATTAGATAATTGGTAAATGAGAAAGGAAGGGAGAGAGGCAAGTCAAAATGATGAAATGAGAGGGAGGGTGGAGCCATAAGTAGGCAGAATGTTGAATGGAAAGGTCATGCATATTAAATGGAATTGAGGGACTAGAGTATGTGAGTTATTTGGATAGGCATAACCCTTGGAGCAGGTTAAGGTGCAGAGTTGGCAGGGAGTGGAGGTCTTAGCCATTTTTCCTGCAATTTCTGGGGGAAATTTCTACTCAACACACCTATTTGTCATTTTGTCTTTCACCTAACAGCTCCTGGGCAATGTGCTGGTGATTATCCTGGCTTCTCATTTTGGCAAGGAATTCACCCCTGATGTGCAGGCTGCTTGGCAGAAGCTGGTGTCTGGTGTCGCCAATGCTCTGGCCCACAAGTACCACTGAATCCTCTTTCCACCTCATCAGTGCCCCTTCGTGTCCCCAGTGCCTTCCTTCTGCACAAGGGGACTGGGATGTGGCCTTGAGAGCACAGCTTCTGTGTAATAAAGTGCATTCCATTCAGTAATCAGAAATTAACATTGTGTCTTCTCCATCTTTTATTCTTGTATTAAAGGAGAAAACGTTCATTGGTTGAAGGTTGGGGAGATACATAGGAAGTAACAAGGGCTCCTTTGAGAAGTTTGCGGGGATTCATTAAGGAAGATGGGCATTATGGGAGGATTCCAGAGGGACTGGGGGGATGCCAAGATAGGGAAGAAGTTTCCTGGGGTGCAGCAAGGTTTATTTAAGTGGGTAGGGGCTTTGGGGGCAGTGTGGCACACACTTACTGGAGAGGGGAAGGAAGGAGGTGGTGAGCAGTGCCTGAGGAAAAACAAAGTAGATTTGTGGGGCATATCTGAATTCAGTTTAAAAAAAAAAGCTTTGTAGGGATCTAAGTTCTAGGCTAGGGTTATTATTTCAATTTGCTCTAATGTACATTTTTAATCAGATAGCTTGTCATAGCTCTTGTAAGACTGAATGGGAGATAAGAGGATAAGTTGAGAAATAGCCGGGAGCTTTCTGGAGAAAGTCTCCATGAAGCAACAATAGCCTGCTCTTTCTTGAAGGGTTTCGCTGTCTCACTGGGGAGCCAAGGTTAAGACAAATGAAATCATTGTGCATTATCTACTGATTGAATGTGTCATGTATTAAAACAAAATTAGAGTTAGGATAATGTGTAAATTTTGTGGGAAAAATGACCAAGACTGCTTATAGCAGATAAGATATTAACAAAGGTTCATAGTCTAAAGCCAGCAAGTTAGGGCTTAGTGACTTGCATGAGCATAGGTCTCCAGGAGTAGAGGAGAGAGTAAGATATAGGTAGAGTATTAGAAAAGACTAGACAAGGCAAGACCTTGAATAGAAAAATAGAAAGAAGTATTGCTATACTATTGGCAAGAGTAAACAATAAATATTCTTAGAACATTACATGACTCAAGGAATAAGATTTGGGGGGAAAGTAATTTGCTTAATACACACAAAATGAATTTAAAATTGCAGAGACTAGATGTGGATGCTAATTCAGGGGAACAGACATAATGGCCCAAACCCAAAAAGAGCAGCGAGGTCTGCAAAAAGTGAAGGATGAACAAATGTAAAGTGAGGAGGATATGATATCTGATTGGCCGGGGTGGATGAAAAGGAAGGAGGTGGTTGTGAATGGCTGAAAGACACCAGCCTGGGTGAATCTAACAGGAAGAGGCTATGCACTGACCTGGGGATCCTCATGTAGGAGTGACAATAAGTGAATCATTCTTGAGGAAGTTATGCTTGGTTGCCAAAGGGCCTTGATTCAAACTCTCATATCAAGGCTTGAGACCTTCACGCTTTACAAGTTAGTGTCGTATCTTGGCAAATTTAACTCTATTAGGCATTTTATTGCTTCCACATATTCATCAGAATTTGTCCTGTGACTTACCTTCTAATTTGGCTTTATGTTTCCACAATAGAGATGAGAGACCACTGATTATCGTAGTTGCAGGCTGTCAACAGTACTGATCTCTCTGAGGCCTGTAGCCTCTCATTATGTTCTCAAGAGAGGCTGCTCATGGCACTAAATATTTTCACTCACTCAGTCAGTCAGTCAGTCAACAAATGAGAGCAATGTGCATTTTTAATCAATCGATCTCTTTTTATCTTTCTTGCCCATCAATTATTATTCTGGCTCTGAATGTCAAAGGGTCAAGAATGGTGGATGATGGAGTTGTGGGCAGAAGACACATTCTTTATCCTTTGCAGATCTAGATTTAGATCTGGATTTTGCCAATCTGAGACGACTGAATTGAAAACAACTTTATAATTAACACACATGCACACGCACATGCATACATGCAGGTCTGGATCACTCAGAACTTTCATAGATGAAAGAATGCCTAATTATTGTCTATAGGCAATAAAATCCACCTGAACAAAACAATGTTGTGATGAACAAGATATTCTTGCAATATTAATCTATCTAAGAGTATAGAGAGTTTAAAGATTATCTCATTATCAGGATTAAAATCTTGTACCAGCTTCTTACTCTCTACCACTGAGGATAAATTCTAAGTTACTAGGTTTATGCTTTCTCTCAGCAATATTTCCTGTCATTCTTACCTTTACCATTTGCACATCAACTACCCTAGTCCATTGTTCATATCTCTAGCATACTGAAGGTCTGTTCTACCTTTGTCAGAGGTTTGGATTCACTGGTCCAACTTTCAGACTTTCTATCCCAATATCTTCCCATGGCAGATTCCTTCTTTTCATTCTGGACCCAGTTGAAATACTGTCCCCTTAGAGAGACTATTCCAGATGTAATTGTGTCCCTCTCATTAAATCCAGATATTAATTTTCTTCATAGCAAATGATAACTGAAATTATTTCGTTGATGAGTTTACTTATTTATTTTATGTATCTTCCACTTTCAAATTATGAATCTTAAGAGGGAAATTTTCTTCTCCGTCTCATTTACCTTAAATCTCCAGTACTTAGAACAATTGTGACACATAGTTATTAAACAACAGTTATTGAATGAATGCTTGAGAACACATGGGAATCAATGTTTGAGAAACAAAGAGAGAGCTTTTGTAAAGAAATAGCTTCATAAGTGAGAATTTAGGTAATGTTAGGAACAATGACATGGGAAAAATGGAACGGTGAAACAGCTAAGGCTTTGGAAGATATTGCCTCAAAAGCGTAAGAGGGAAGCAAAAGTTACAGATGACCTTTGGATCACTGTCTGCATTTCTGGAAAAATGGGGAGCTTGTTTGCAGACAAGAGGCGTCATAGAAATCCATTAGTCTGAGGAGGAGTAATTAAGACTCACTCACTTGGTAAGATATTCAGAGGCTTGGGAACCAGCTTCTGAGTCATTCTCCAAGGTCAAGTTCTATAAACCCAATAAGATTATCAAATGTAGTCAAAGATCTCTGTACACTCACCTCACAGGCCTCCTATTATAAAGTCTCTAACCTGGGTTCCCCTCAGCCTCTTTACCCTACACCTTCATACCGGTAAAAATGTGCCGTGCGTACCCTTATGTTGTGAGGTCACAAATTATTATAGCTATAAGTAGAAAATGACAACAGATGTCTTGATGAATCTCATTCTCCTTCACTTTTACTCATCCCTATCAAAGAACATATATAGGCTTTACATGAAATCATGAAACTGAAAGGATGTCATCTATACTATTATAATTTCAGGCAACCTGATAAGTTAGAGGATAAACTAGTTTAAAGATAGAGGCACCCCGTAATAAAATACACAAAAACTTCTTAATCTGCTTTTTAATGTGATCTTCAGGTCTGGCCACAAGGGCAAATAATCAAGCCAGATTTCCAAAGCTCAGGCCTGACAATTTGGCAAGGTCTCAGTGGGTTTTCTGTCTGTGCTTGAAATTGCCCCCTCTTTGCCTTCATTTCATCGATCTCTTAAAGAGAATCTTCTCGGTTTGGCCTCAAATGTCATCCCTTTTTCACATTAAATCTTCCCCATTTCCCTAAGAACTGATAACAGCCCCTCAACTATATCAAGCGTGGTAGACTGAAAGCATTAGTTCTCTCATAGCAGAAATTCAGCTCTCATCTATTGGGATGAGCTCTTTAGGTTTTAGAGTACCCCATAAGTACACATGGTGGTACATTCTTAAATGTCATTTTTTAAGGATTTACGCCAGAAGAGAAACCAACAAACCAGTTTCCTGGAGCTCTAAATTCAGGAGTGATGGACTAAGAGAAAAAAATAAATAAATGATTCCCTCTCCCACTGGAAGTGTGCCCTGTCTAGTCCCATAAATGCTTGTTTGAGATGCATGAGACCAAAGAACTTTAGGTTACAGGAGCAGTAGTGTGTGGAATATCATCGATGAAGATTGTCTCTGCCTGTTAGGTATGAGGAAAAATGAAACACAGCAAAGGAGTGTACATCCAGCACACACCAGAGATAACTTCCTTAATCTGCAGCCCATGCCATGAAATAATCTACTACTCAACTACTCTCTGTATTGAACATATGAGCACCCTTCTCCTCCTACACCTAAACAACTCTATTTTCTGACACAAATTGGTGGATACATGGAATCTGCCACAGACTATTGTCCAATGACTCAGAAGAAATATCTTTTTCCCAAATAAATACACTGACTATTAAATGGATTAAAAAATATGGGAGTAACATTCAATTCTGCCTTAACTTACCTAGTTTTTCTTATCCTGCTTCCTTTTGATGTTGAATAGAAATATTTATTTCTATTATAAAAAGCATTAAATTATGCACCCAATGTAATCTCAAGAGAATTGGGAACCAAGAAGGGCTGTGGCTTCTTTGATATGAAGACTGGCTGAACAACAAATTTTCACAACTCTTCACCAAATGCCCAAGACATTTATAATTTCTACCCTTTTCAGTTCTAATCTATGCCTCATCATCAGCCTTCATGTCGTTGCAAGATAGTGGTGGTTGGAACCTTGAGATGTAAATTGCATACTAGATGGAGGGGGGAGAATGAGGTATACGAGCAAAGAAAAGAAAGAAGTGAAGGTTCAAATTGAGCACGAATGGTAGAGTCTTTCTGAGAGAGCCTCCCAACAGTATCAGAGACACAAATGCCCATCTTCCAGACTATACTTTGTCCAAACCCCACACACGGTGGTGACTACCCACTCTTGACCAATAGTCTCATTTCATTGGGAGAAGCAAGAGATGGGCACCAGAGATGAAGAATAAAAGACCACACAAAGAAGAAACAGCACAGACTTGTTTCTGGCTCATCTGTGATTGCCGGAAAGCTCCCAGACACCATGGTGCATTTTATTGCAGAGGAGATGGCTGCTGTTGCTTGCCTGAGGGCCAAGGTGAACATGGAGGCAGTCTGAGGTGAAATCCTGGGAAGGTAGCCACTGCAAGCCAGGGCAGGGGGCAAAAACAAAAGAAAGAAATGTTGCTGAAAGAGGGATTGGTCAGGTTTCTTATATACTCACAGGTTTCTTACATACTGACTTCCCACCTGGTCTGTAATTGTGATAATCTCATAGGTTCCTGGTCATCTACTCGT